CATCACTGCCTGCTGGGCCATGGAGGGGTCCAGGGCAGGAGCAGCAGTAGTAGGGCCAGAGGGTGTTGCTGGTGCTGCATGGGATTGTGTCGGGGCAGGGGTGGCACCTGTTGACACGGCATGTGTCTTGAGGTGCTTCAGGCATCTGGGTTAGGGTCTAAGCTGTGCTAGATTAGATTAGATAAAGATTTGGAGTTTCGGACTTTTTACCTTATCATTATTACTTTCTTTCTCGTGATGCGCAGCAGCTGACTGATGTACCTTAGTAATCCTGTATAGCATGTGATATCTCACTGGCCAATGGCCTTTGTCCCTCAGTAGTAGATTCTAGCGCATTCCATTGCGCACAGACCATTCCTTAGAGATATATAAGGAGGTCTTTTTCTTCCCTTACACTTCAGAGTTTACTTCACCTCTGAAGCGTAAGTTCCTTTTTCTACACTATCTATCATACCTTTGACTAACTACTCGTATATAGTAACTTGTCTTATAGGTCAGTAGAATAGTAATAGAGTTTACTTCACCTCTGAAGCTAACTTGTCTTATAGCCTCACATGCTAACTACAGTCAGTATCACTGCACACACATGCCTGTTCATCAGCACCCACCAGAGCTGGTAGGGCCAGGGCAGTACCTGCTGGATGATCTAAAAGAGGAGGGGGTGCAAAGGGGCCCCACTTGGGGCAACGTACGGAGTGACAGTGATGGCCAAATTGGCCACAAAGCAGGCACTTATATTTGCAGTTGCAGACCCCCGCAACAGCATGGGCACCCTGGCAATGGAGGGCATGCTCATTGAAGGGGTGGGTGCCACCACATTTGTAGCACTTTGGCTTGGACGGTGGTTGGGTGCACTTAAGCTTACCAGTGGCACGATTGCGCTGCATAGCACAGTGGCCAAGCAGGTGGCAATGACCACACTGAAGAAGGGTAGGGGACTCACCACAGTGAACAAGCTTCCCAGCACAGCCAAACATATAGATGGGTGTGCGCAGAAGGGTGGCAATGTCTGCTGGTGAGAAGCCATGGACAGCAAAGACAATGGTGGAGCATGGGGAAGTAATGTGGGCAGGGTCAGTCTGCCAGCGGGGAGGGGAAGGGAAGAGGGCCCTTGTAAAGGGGCCATTCCAACGGAGCTCACTCCAGAGGACATCATTGGGGAAAATGACACCATCACCAGAGGAGACATAGACATCCCTGAGCTGGAACCATGCCCAGCCATGAGTGGGAACAAGGGACCCACCAGGGAATTGCTTCACCAAGGCAGGCTCATAGGGCAACAGACTCTGGAAAGGGTGGTCACCAGCAAATGAAAAAATAAAATTTCCCTGGCTATTGCCAAGTCCCACTGACCATCTGCCCCCCAGGAGGTGGGGGCTGAAGCATTGGCACATTGTAAAGCTTGTTGTGCAGTCAGCACCAGTTCAGGAACCACAGCCATGCCTCTGTTGGTCTGCCCAGAGGGCAGGGCCAGTAAGAGGATGGTGACGTCTGTAGTGTGGGTGACTGGGGCAGCATGGGTGGTGGAGGTGGAGGTGGCAGCCACCCGGGGGTTGGGCTTGCCAGCCATAGTACGGCCTTGGGCCTTTGTGGCAGCTTGGGTGAAGGTAATTGCACATAGCTGTTGGGCCATGGTGGCTGGAGTGACAATGCGGAAAGGGTCAGGTGGGGTGGCACCCACTGGGGCCAACACTTGTGTGGAGGCTGGTGCAGGGTGTGAGGGTCCAGGGGGAGGGCCCTGGGGACTGGTGGTCCCATGGGGGCCTTGCACAGGGGGAGGGCCATGCGAAGGGGAGGGGCACCCCATTCCAGCCTGTCGACTCAATTGAGGATCATAGCCAGAGCAGCCTCAATGCAGGTGAGCAGATTGGAGGAGGGGGGGGCGGGAGGGGGAGGTAGTGCAGCAGCAGCTGGGGGGTCAGTGGGGTACAAGAGAGAAGAGTCATGCAACGTAGCAGCAGGGGGCTCCTCTCCCATATCTGTGTCTGCGTGGATCGAGGCTAGCATGCCAAAGTTGGCTGGGTCGCACTCTGCACGGGAAGGTAGGGGTTGGGACACTAAGGGTGGAGAGTCTGGTGAAAGGGCCATTGGTTCAGCAGACTGGGAGAGTGGGACCAGTGTAGTTGAGGAAGAGGCCCAGGCACGTGTGTCATCACGGGCAGCAGCACGGGATGCAGGGCGGGAAGGGTAAGGCTCAGCATGGGAGCCAGCACAAGAGTGGGACCTGGTGGGGGTTGGAGGCATGGAGGGGCAGGGGTTAGTGCCCCACCGTGTGGATACCTTAGATGATTTTGGAGTGCGTTCCATGTCAAAGGAAGGCATTGGGGAGATGTAGGCAGCATCTACCTCGGCCTGGACCCAGGTGTGCTGTTCAGAGGAGTAACGGAGATGGAAGGCCATGACCTCCTGGGAGACCTGGGTCCTGGCATCCTGTTGTAGTTGAGCCAGGGTATCAGCATAGATCTGGGCCCATTGAGGGGCAAGCTCCTGCCCAACTGAGGCACGCATCTCATCCAGCATACGGGCCCTGATTGTGGAGAGCATGTTGTTGTTCTGGAACTCAAGGTCCAGGGTGGCATGCAATGCAGTGACTGCATGGCCATGGGCTTCGGTTTCAATGGCCGAGGCATAGGCAGTTGGGTCCTCTCAGCTGGAAGAGGAGAGGATGCCCTGTAGTTGGGACAGCATGGCCTTAATGTGTTGGAGGGGGGTTTCTGGCACAGGGAGGTCCCTAGCGAGAGACACCAAGTCAGTAAAGTCACCTTCATGGTAGTCAAGAAGGGAACGTAAGTTTGGGGAGCGCAAGGCTCCCCGGATGGTAGCTGCAAGGAGGCCATGAACAGCACGGCCCCATGAGGGGGGTCAAGGCCCAGGGCAGCAATTTCTTGCTCACCTGAGCAGTGGACACCAGCATCCAAAAGGGCAGCAACAGTGCTGTTTGCCATGGTGTTGGAGTTGTCTGGGAGGGCAAGGTGAGCCCCCTCTTCAAATTGGAAGGATTTGGCCCAATAGTAGAGGTCATAGCCCATGTGGGCTTCAGAGAAGGAGGCAAGTGCATTCTGGCAAAGACATGCCATGAGGTGGAGGGCATGTGTGGCAGCCTCTTCATCAAGAGAATTGGAGGCAGCTGGCAGCGTCAGTGTTTCGTAGAGCATGGGGTGCTCAAGTGAGTCCACCACAGTGACCTGGTACTGGTCAGGTGGTGAGGCAAGGGGGTTCGGGACCCTGTCCATGAGGAGAGGCCCCCCGGTGCAAGGGGGGGCAACATAAGGAGGAGGGGGGGAAGGCAAGACAATGCCCCCCAGAGGGGGAAGGACAATGGAGGGGGTGGATGACATCAAGCTAGCTGACAACACTGGTATAGGGTGGTTGATGCCCCCAGACATGAGGGCCAAGGATGGTAAGATCTGTTGCTAAGGCAGGCAATGAGAGGACTAGGAAACTGATATTCACACTTCTAAGCTAGACTAAAGCACTCCAAAGCAAGCAAGGCTCAAGCTTAATGGTGGTGGTTTCAGACAAAGAGGGATGTTTTGGAGTTGGTCTGTACTGTCCTGGATGTGCATTTTTGGCATCCCGGACCGCTTGAAAGCCATCCTGAGGGTGCATGCATTATACAAGTCGACCTTCTTAGATAGAGATAAGATAAGAAGGAGTTTGGACCGTTCTGACCCGGTCCATGCGATGCAAAGTAGTCGCTGTCCTGTGCAGCAATGGACACTGATAGATACACGCGGCCTTTGTTTGAGTAATATAATTTGATGATTTGATTATAGAGTGATCTAAAGTAGTCTAGTATGTATTTTAGATAATGCCAGACTGGCGGAAAGGATCACGCATTATTAAATAAGATGTGTCAGGGCACTCAGGAGAGTGGGCCACTGATAACTAATTAGATTTACATCGCATGCTTGATCGGCTTTGGTATTTCATAGAATAGTACTAGGACATATTTAAAGACACCCTGTAGCATGCTGCAGACCCCATCTTGTCCTCTTGGGGCTGTAGGTGTGCTTTATCTTTGTATTTACTCAGGCCCAGCTAATCTTGTCCTCTTGGGGCTGTAGGCTCTTAGCAAAGTTCAATATAGGTCTATTCTTGCTGCATAAGCAAGGCAGAGTCCTCTGACTGCTTCAAGCCTTACGCATGCATTAATCTCTGCGTTCTGGGCAGCTTTCCAACTAGGATATTTTCACCTCTAAGTTTTACCACGATCTCTACATCTTATCTAATCTACATAGCAAGCGCGGGATAGAAGCACCCATTACATGTACTATAAGATGGCAAGCACAAGAGAGAAGAGAAAAAGATTTGTGAGAGTATTGATTCGACAATTCAATTGATCTCAGCACTGACCAATGGCTTTTCGACTTCAACTTCGACAGCATCTTTTAACGGAATGAACTGATTGTCTCTGGCAAGTGCCAAATGGATAGGAATGAGGCAGAGAATGTAAACGACCCATTCTCCAAAAATGAATGTAGTATTCCATTCTGCATTGGGGGAAAAGTTGGCTATGAAGCTGTAAAATGTCATTATAGAGACCTGTAGGGTGCTGAACTTATCTCCAGTGGGTTTCTTTGAATGGTCTCGATTATTATTGAGCCGGGAATGCATCAGTAGGCCGGACTGGATCAGAGGTGACCAGTGTTGCCTGCTGTGTGAGATGAACTTAGGTGGATGTTGTATATAAATATACTTACTAACATATCCACTCATCTACTACAATCCTTTATGACCATAGCACAACACACTCTTTATAGTACTTAAGGACAGTTTCTTTGACCATTCATATCTTGCTGCTCATTTAGGTAGCACTTATCAAACCTCAGCTGTGTTTATCAGATAATAATTATGATCTTGGTCAGTGACAAAGAGAATTGAATGACAGCAATGACTGTTTGATTGCATGAAAGCATGTCCATACATTGGGAAGGTGGCCGGAGCCTGGACTAGTTGTGCATTGGACACAGCAAACAGAAACCACCCTGGAGACCAAAGACTGTGTAGCTCAGTGGTTAGTAGCACCAGTCCTAGTATGCCTGAGGGCCTTTGGTTCAATCCCCAATATGGCCACACTTTTCCTGTGACTAAAGTCCCTTGATTTGGGTGCTGAAACCTCAACATGTCTGACTTGTGAATCCCTCCTACACTGTAAATCATCCCCCTCATCACCAATTTCACTGACAACATCTTCATCAATTTCCTCAGTGAACTCATTGCCTGGCTCATCATCTGGCATTATAAACCACAATTCATACTGTGGGACAATGACAAGAATGTGCCTAGAGTGTTGAGTGTTTCAGCACCTTGATCAAGGGACTTCAGTCACAGGAAAAGTATGGCTATTGGGGATTAGTGAATAGCAGGGGTAACCCCCGGGTATCTTCATTGGTACCCATACCTGTACCCGTACCCGTCGCTATGGGTACGGGTTACCTGCGGGTCACCTGCGGGTTGCCTGTGTTAAACACGTGCAAGTTCTTTACTTGCATCGCGCATTTCGGATATCTGGCCCAGGCCATCCCAGACCAAGGAGATACACAACGCGTTCATTTATGGCTGCTTAAGATCCCTCAATGACTCTTGTTTTATGCTCAGAAGATTAAGATAATTCATTATTCCATTTTTATTTTATTATGCTGGTCTCAATTTTATACAAGCACAACTAAAATCCACCCCAATATACAGAGATGATTAGATAGGATGTAATAGAACATTGAATGAAAAGCCTGTCAGATAACCACACAGAATGCAAAAATAATTGACAAATGCATAGTGATTGGCAGGGGTAACCCCTGGATATTTGTTTTGATACCCAGGTTACCCATAAAATGAAACGCATGCAAGTTCTTTACTTGCATCGCACATTTTGGACACTTGGCCTGGTCCATCCCAGTCAAGGAGATATGCACTTGGATACAATGCATTCATCTGTAGCTACTCAGGATCCCTCAATAATTGCTGATTTATGTTCAGAAGATTAAGTTTATTCTTTATTTACATTATTATTTTATTTCATTTTGTGGAACAGGCATGGCGCAGGCTTGTACTTTAGATGTACTTTATCAGCTACTAGATTAAATGAACGCATTATCTCGTTATCTCGTTTAATGATGTGATTTGATCATATGTCAGATCTTAGATGTATATTCTATGGATCTAATTAATTTGTGAACGCGTTTCTGTTGTGTTATCTATGCGTGATCACAATCTTGTCAGACCAATGGAAAATTGCAGTTAAGTCAACCTTCCTTAATAGGAAGGAGATCAGACCAATATGCTGGTCCATGCGATGCAATGTAGTTGCTGCTCTATGCAGCCTGTAGATACACGCGGGCCTTGTTTCAGTAAACTAATTTGATAATTAGATTATAGAATAGTCTAAAGTAGTCTAGAGTGTATTTTAGATAGTGCCAGACCGGCAGAATTGATCGCGTGTTAATAAAACAGTTGCATCATGATTTTTAAGAGAGTGGATCACTGATAACACTTTTATTTTACATCGCACTGTTGATCTGCTTTGATATTTCATAGGATAACACTAGAATATATTTACAGAAACCCTGTAGCATACATCAAATTAAATCTTATCATTTGTTTGCTACAGATGTATTTTATCATTACATTTCTGCTGATCTTGTCAATGACTGATGACCACTTATACCCACCAAACCCGCTGCGTGGGTACAGGTTTCTGGTGGGTTGGGAGTTGTATACCCATACCCATACCCGTCAAAACCTGCGGCGCTTACCCGCGCAGGTATGAAACCCATGCTGATCCCTAGTAACCAAGACAATAAAGGATTGTGTCTAATCAAGTAAGGTATCAAACTATTCACAGGAAGGTGAAACACAGTCCACGTGCTACTGCACAACACACAACTCGCTTGTTAGTACCACACACTTAGCGATTGATCCAACCTGGCCATATTGATCCATTTCTGACACTTCCAAGTGGCCAGGACTGGGTGTAAGATGACGACAGCAGATGGTGAATTGTGGAATGACCAAGAGCGAGCATGGGCATGGTACATGGTCAATCCACTTGAGCACTGAAGAGATAGTAATCACTTTTCTCTATGAGCTCCGGACATGCAGCAAGTCGTCTCTTCATTTCTCCCTTGAATAGTTCTCCAACCAACTTCTGCAAGTTCGAACCTCGGATAGTAGTCTGAGCAACTGACTAGAGCAAGAGGAATTTGACTTTCAGAGGGGTGATCATCACCCAAGATAGAATAGAGAACACACATTAAGATCTGCTTCAATCTTGTGCCTGAAGTATTTATAGTATTTCTCATCCCTAAATGCCTCGCGGTTAGTGTTGTGACAGCCCCGGCTTGGCCTGAAGCTGCAGCTTAGGCTCGGCTTTTGGTGGCTCAGGCTTGTCAAAACTCAAGCCTGGGCCGTAGCGACGGCTTCCGGCCAGCTTAGGCCCAAGCCATGGCTTTACAGTGTCAAATCAAGTTTTAGCTGCATTTTTTGAAGGACTTGTAGTTTACATTATATCAACCCCTGGCCACTGCTTTGGCCTTCTGCCATATTATGTCTCCTATTTAACTCCTGTAACATAAATTGTCTTAGTTTAGCTTGTGTCAATAACAGTGTTTGTAACAGGTGCTTCTATCCTGTGCTTGCTATGTAGATAAGATAAGATGTTGAGATCATGGTGAAACTAAGAGTGAAAATCCAGCAAGAATACACCTATATTGAACAATTGCTAAGAGCCTACAGCCCCAAGAGGACAAGATGGGGTCTGTAGTGTGCTACAGGGCATCTTTAAATAGGTTCTAGTACTATTCTACGAAATACCAAAGCCAATCGAGCATGCAATGTAAATCCAATTAGTTATCAGTGGCTTACTTTCATAAGTACCCTGACACATCTTATTTACTAATGTGCGATTGTTTCTGCTGGTCTGGCATTATCTAAAATACATACTAGACTACTTTAGACTACTCTACAATCAGATTATCAATTAATATTACTCAAAAAATGGCCACGTGTATCTATAATGTCCTTTGCTGCATAAAAAATCCACATCCAGGACAGCATTGAATTTGTTGAACCAGAATACTGGATAATTGTGATTGCATTTAGATAAAACAATTGATGAGATAAAAACGCATCTTACATTAACCAAGATACTGAGTATATACATCTCAGATTGATCATGTGATTAAATCACTTTCATTAATAAGCAAGATAATGTGTGCATTTGTTTACTTTGATTTAGTAGCTGTATAAAGCCACTAAATCTGCTATAGATAAAGCAGTTGCTATTGCATTATCACAAGCACCTAAGTCTCTAAGTTAACAAAGTATCTAAAATATAAGTCTGCACCATGCCCATTTCCTTCAGAATTCCTATTTAGATGTACTATATCAGCTACTAAATTAAAGTAAACAAACGCATTATCTCACAATGTGATTTAATCACATGATTGATCTGAGATGTATATACTCAGTATCTTGATTAATGTAAGACACATTTTTATCTCATCAATTGTTTTATCTAAAATCTAAATGCAATCACAATTATGTTGGACTATCTCTGTACTGGCATTCTGGTTCATAGAAAGTGTGACTCAGCCACCAAAAGCCACAGCTTCAGGCTTTCCAAACCTTAAGCCTGAGCCGTGGGCCACTGGAAGTGTTACAACTCACTGTCGACTGTCTGGACAGTGGGTTGTATGCAAAGGGGAAGGGATTTGGAAGTGGGCAAAGGATGAGAGTGAGGGTGAAAGTGCAAAGGAGACGAAGCGAACAGCTCAAGGGCAGGGGATGAGAAGCCTTCCACAAGGTGGGGCTAATCTCCTAGGTAATCAGGAACCGGATCACAAGTGGACAGTCTGGAGCTGTCCATTCTATTCCCAAAGGGTTTATATACGTAATTACAACTGGGACTTTGGTCTGTGCACCACTTTAGGGGAGGTTAACTTCGCTTTAACTCCCTACTGATCCACCAATGAGAATAGCCCCACTTTTGGGCTTAGAAATCTGCAGTCCGCAGTCCGCAGTCCGCAGTTTGTGGACTGCTGTTTAGGCATTGTGGGGTTCTGTTAGTACTCTTCCCACAGTTCTCCAATTTGGCAGGAGTCCGGTCCTGGTCCAGACCGGCCCTTCTCTGGTCTTAATCTAGGGTTATCTTCGTCTCTGAGGGTTTTACAAGGTCTTCTGAGAGTGTCTGAGGATTTCTGGGGGTCAGGAGGTTTTCTAGGGTGTCAGTTCATGACAGGAAGCCGTTTTCACGGCCTATGTCGGCCCGGCTTTTTCCAGCTCAGAAATGGCCAGCTTACGGCTTTGAGCCGAGCCGTGCACATCACTACTCGCGGTCTTTCTCTGAATATAAATCTTTGGAGGTTAGAGAAGTCAGTGTGACTGTGAATCTCCATCTATATGCGTGAAACATCCTGTGATGCATACAGTCGTCGCTCCCTGGATCACAACCGGCGAGTTCGAGTATGGTGCGAAGGGAGAATGACTCTCCGATCCACGTCTTTGAGAGGGTGTAGTTTACGATCGACTTGACTAAGGACTGAAGCGCGATGACAAGTTGGATTCCGGAAGAACCCTTAAAAGGAAAAGACCCCAGTCAGACGATACGAAAGAGTGCGTTGGGGGGGGGGGGGGGAGGACTTAGCACGCTATCAGCCACGCACATTTCCAATGATACCAATGGCCTTATATCCCCCAGTCCTTCACATCCTCTTCTAACCCACCCTCCTCGGTGATGTCCCACTGCGCACTGTGCAGTACACGTCCACGAAAATCGCCAAGACCTGGAATGAAGGATACCAACACCCATGAGAAGCAGGTACGTCTTGTCCTCAATCTCCGCGTCACCGTCTCCATCACGCTGGATCCTGAGGTGCCATTTGCCCGTCGCCTCATCCCACGAGGCCTGCGTGAGCTCATGTTGCAGTTAAATGTGGCGCATAAGCTTGTACTTTTCGACCACTCGATTGAGGTAAGCAAGGATCTCGAGCCCAGAGGCGTAGAATCCAGACCAGTCTACCTACCACCCTCAAGAGCGCGTCAGTTTAGTAAATTCTAAAGGTGGATGAGTGTTTTCT